TGTCAGATGGGCAGATAACTGTGAAGATCATGGACAATGGCATCCAGGGAGAGCTGAGGAGAAGCAAGGTGAGGAATTTAGGGAAGTAAAGTAGGTAACTTGGGGACTTTCATGGCAAAGAGATGGAAACTTGCTCTCAGTTGACATTGCCCTTATAGGATTTCTCAATTTTGATTAACTTGTGTTAAAAATTACTTAAGTATGGGGGTGCCTGGCTGTCTGAGTTGGTAGAGCATATGACTCTTGACCTTGGGGTCATGAGCTGGAGCCCCATGTTGAGTGTAGAGTTACTTAAAAAGAAAAAAAAATGTTTTTTAATTACTTAAGTTACATATCTTCTTTCTTCCATTAGATTGTAAGTCCACTGACATTTCCATGTTTTCATAGGACTTAATGTAGCAGCTTCAGATGTAGGAGCTCAACAGATAGTTGATGGACATGAACACATAAGTGACAGAATTAAACCCTTGTTGAAACCCTTGTTTTTCTTTATCCATTGTCATGCCCAAAATGGCTCTCATCCCTTGTCTTCTAGTCCCAGTTTAGAAATATATAATTGCGCCCCAGCACCCCTCTAATACCAGTTTAATATTTTGAGTTGTCCTTATACCCAGTTCTCCAAATCTGATTTTCCCTCATTTATCCAGTCTAAGGGAAGCTTGGAGATCACAGAGAGCCAGTCTGCAGATGCTGAACCCCCACCTCCTCCTAAGCCGGACCTGAGCCGTTACACGGGGCTACGAACACACCTCAGCCTGGCTACTAATGAGGGTAAGAGCAGTGGCAGGAGCGAGAAGGTTACTGTGTGCTGTGGAGAAGACAGGCAGGCAAGGCCTGGGAGGTGATACTCGCATCGTGGCTGAGAAAACCCAACAGGTGGGCCTTGAGCCACTTTGGACAGCTAGGAGAGGAGAAAGGGGATTCCATGTAGCTAGTGGCAGTGAATCGGACTTTTGTGGGGCGGGAACGGTTAGCATCCAGATAGACCAGAGAACATCCTAGACAGGTTTGTGCATTCTCTCACTCTGCGTTCTGGGCCAGTATGCGTCTGTCGTCTTGACTGCAGCTAAATCATGTTCCTGGGACTTTTCTGTTGCTGGTATATCCATTCCTACCTTGTTCTCCCTCTGTAATTTAAGGAACTCTGGCCAAGAGAACGGCTTGTAAAGTGGTGTCTCCCTGGGCCTTTTCTCCTGCAGATAGCAGCCTCCTGGGCAAGGACAGCCCTCCCACACCTACCATGTACAAGTACCGGCCGGGCTACAGTAGCAGCAGTACGTCAGCCGCCATGCCTCATTCCTCCAGCGCCAAGGTACTGAGTACTCTGGAAGGAGGAGGGTTGTGATGTATGTCAGCTGTTCTGGGAAAAAGAATAGTGGGGGAGGGAAGGAAGAGAGGCAAAGGGAAGGGAAGAAACGAGACATTTTACTGATTGTTGGCATTAATGGGATTGAATCTCCTTGACAGTGTGTCCTTCATCAGAGAGGGGGCAATGTAGCATACTAGGTAAAAGCACTGATTGTAGCATCGTAGCTGAGTTGAAAACCCATCATGGGCAAGTTACTGAACCTCTTTAAGCCTCATCTTTTGCATCTTCAAATGAGATATTATTTGTTCCAACTCGCTGGTTTGCTTTAGGTGTGGAACAAGAGAATGCGTGTAAAAAGTTCTAAGCATGTTGGCGGGACATGACTGCTTAGGCTCTGGGGCCTAGCATCTGTCCCAGGAGGAGGAGCACTAAGAGCATGCTGTCGTTTCTCCCTCAGTTGAGTCGTGGGGACAGCTTGAAGGAGCCGACCTCAGCTGCAGAGAGCAGCCGCCATCCCAGCTACCGCTCGGAGCCCAGCTTGGAGCCAGAGAGCTTCCGTTCTCCCACCTTTGGCAAAAGCTTTCACTTCGAGCCACTATCCAGCGGCTCACGCTCCTCCAGCCTCAAGTCAGCCCAGGGCACTGGCTTCGAGCTGGGCCAGTTGCAGTCCATTCGTTCAGAGGGCACAACCTCCACCTCCTATAAGAGCCTGGCCAACCAGACACGCAACGGAAGCCTGTCTTATGACAGCTTGCTCACTCCTTCGGACAGCCCTGATTTTGAGTCCGTGCAGGCAGGGCCTGAGCCAGACCCACCTTTAGGCTACACCTCTCCCTTCCTGTCAGCCCGGCTGGCCCAGCAGCGGGAAGCCGAGAGGCACCCACGTTTGGTGCCAACCGGCCCAACACACCGAGAGCCCTCCCCGGTCCGGTACGACAATCTGTCGCGCCATATTGTGGCCTCCCTCCAGGAACGAGAGAAGCTGCTACGCCAGTCACCCCCGCTCCCAGGCCGCGAGGAAGAACCAGGCTTGGGGGACTCAGGCATTCAGTCAACGCCGGGCTCAGGCCATGCCCCTCGTACTAGTTCCTCCTCAGATGATTCAAAGAGATCACCCTTGGTCAAGACTCCACTGGGACGCCCAGCTGCCCCCCGTTTTGGCAAGCCAGATGGGCTAAGGGGCCGGGGACTAGGGTCCCCTGAACCAGGCCCAGCCGCCCCATACCTGGGCCGATCTGTGTCTTACAGCAGCCAAAAAGCCGGTGTCACCCCAGCTGGTGTCTCTGAGGCAGAGGAAGTAGCCTTGCAGCCGTTATTGACACCCAAGTAAGTATAAGTCCATCCTGACCGTCTGTGGACTTAAAATTAGCATAGGGTCCTACAGAAGGTATCATGACTTCACTTGTGTGCGGGTGGACTCAGAGGGGCCTGCTTGTAGATCGCTCGTTTCACTCACTCTCTAGCTGCTGATTAATACTTTTTTCTTAATCCTGTCTTCCCAAAATGTATGTATTTGCCTGAGAGTAAGTAAGTAAGATAGCTGCTGTTGGAGAGAAGGAATAGAGAGAGGAGATAGGGCACCAGGTTTGTTTTAAGCAGGGCAGTAAAACAGGTGGGAATGTTTGGGTAAGAAAGTATGTACATAGAAAAGTATGTCAGTTTGTTCTCGTAACTTCTAAAACGGTCTCCCTTTTCTGTGTTTTGTGTCCCACTTCCTGACACCTACCTCTTTTTCTCTTCCTAGAGATGAAGTACAGCTCAAGACCGCCTACAGCAAATCCAATGGGCAGCCCAAGAGTATAGGCTCTGCCTCCCCTGGCCCAGGCCAGCCGCCTCTCAGCAGCCCCACAAGGGGCGGAGTCAAGAAGGTGTCAGGGGTGGGTGGTACCACCTATGAGATTTCCGTGTGAGCCTTCGGCACCTCCCTTCCCCCCACGCCTCTGCGCCTACACCAAAGGGCCCCAGGTGGCCACCTTCCTTTCCTCGAGGGGTTCCCCTCCCCTGCATGGACATTTTTTTAAACCACCGATTCCAAGAGGATGAGGAGCGTTTTATAAAATGCAGTGGGGATGGGGAGTCGGAGAGTTGGGGCCCTGAGACTGGGGTAGCAACCCCCTTCACCTTTTAAGACCTTCCCTTCTTTAACCCCTGGACCAGACTCAGTGGACATTTGTGCAATTGCTCGCCCTGGAGGGAACCAGATCATTTTTAAACCAGAAATAATTTTTTTTATTATTGTTACGGATTCTATTTTTTTCCTCTCTGCGTTACCAGGTGTGTGTGTACATATATATATATCTATATATATATATATTATAAATATCAAAGAAATTATATATCTATCCTGGGATGGGAAAATGAGGGAGGGATATGTAGGAGGAGGGGTATCTTACTCTTCCGTTCCTCAGACCAGCAGGAAAGACGCGGGGACATCCATCGAAGTCTTCCTTTTCCCAGTGGTTCCCTCTCTTTTGTCTCAGTTACCAACTAAGGAAACTGCACCCCCCTGCTGTTGGTGCGTAGTGATCAGGAAAGAAACCTTGGGAGAGGCGAGTCTGGGGTCTTGGTCAGAGGAAGGAAGGATTTGGAGAGGAGAGTTAGTTTTCTAGGTTCATTGGCACTTAGTTTCCCCAGGAAAGGGGTCACAGCCCCATGACTTTGGTGGTGGTGGGGAGATCAGGAAAAGAGCTTGACTGAGCTCCAGAAACAATATTGGATAATGCCCCCCCTTCTTGGGGGAGAGGGATTAGTGTGGGCTTCTTTAGTCCCCTCAGAGCCTTCCCCCAACTCACACGGTTAACATTATTTTTAAATCCAAGGCCGGGAGAGATGAATCCAAAAAGCAATATTTTTCATCACATGCCAAAAATGGGATAGAGAGAAGGAGTGGCAGGCCTAGGCCCCTCCGATTGTCCCTTGGGGGTTACCCCTCAGCCCACCTCAGTATGGTGCTGGGTAGTGGGGGTACCTGGGTTCTAACCTCTAAAAAGGGGAGACCCCAGCCTCTAGACAGAGGCCCTCTTATTTTTTATTCTGATTAGCCATTTTAAACCAACAGGAATAAAAAGAAATCCTGATCTAACCAGCTCCCCCTGACTTGTGTTATTTTGTCTGGTTAAGGCAGGGTGAATGATCTCTGGTGGGAAGTCACAAAGAAAACCTCATAAGCTTCTCTGGTCCTGGCCCACCCTTAGGCAGCACTGTAGTGGGAATAACCACTTAAAACAACAGGTCCTGTTTTTATTTTGGTGATTTAATTCAAAAATTCCTAGGAGGAACCCTCTGACCACCTAAGCTCCTTGTTGTTTTAAGGCTTAGAGAACTGCCACAGTTCTTTAATACAGAATTTTGTCTCTGGAAAGTAAAAATCTTTGGATGTAGCCAGAGGTGAGACAGTGGATGATTGAGGGATGAAAGCCTGTTAGAGGCTGTTTGCCTGGATATGGCTGGCACTTCAGTATGATCGCTCACGGTTGTCTCTTCTGTTTGTCCAAAGCAAAAAGGCTATGCCCTAATTTTAAATAGGCCGCCTCAGACACTAAATCTCCGGAAACTGGCCAGAACCCATTATTTTCGCTGTCCGTGACTTAGGTGTATACACTCTTGCTCTGAAATCCTAGATTAAAACTGTAGCTCAATGAATGGTTTTCCACCTACTGATCTAGTAACAATCTTGGCTCATAGCAACAGATTTTAACTGTTCTGTGTCAAATTTATTTAAAGTCAGATTACAATAGCTTGGGTTTTCTCATGGACATTTCCAGTTACCTGGCCTGCTATAAAGACTGAAGGAATTTCTTTCACATTCTGCTAGTTCAGGGTGCCTTTCTGTGGCTATCTTAGAAGCTTAGAAATGTTTTCACATTAGCCTAATAGTTTCATTGTCTTTAAGGAATAAGGCAGGGCAAAGATTCCTATAAAGACAAGAGAAGCATTTACCTTTGCCAGAGATTTAAAAAAAAAAAAAAAAAAATCACAGGCTTCACCAGGAATCAACCTTGTTGACATACACTGGTGATTGTGGGTGCTTTTTCAGTTGGCTGTTCTGTTTTAACACAAAACTGACCTAGAAGACAGATGAGCCTTAACTGGATCAGCTCCTCCTGTGGAGCCTCATCCAGGTGCTTGGTTCTCAGCGTGACGGGCAGAGTGTTAAGTGTCTGCTGTGAACATGTATTAGCGGGCTCTGCCTCACTTGCGCACCCTGTTCCCCGTCTCACTTGGTCGTCTCCCTGCCTACTAATAATGTAACGGTAAGACCCAAAGTCCCCTCAGATCTTTGAACGCCCTGGCTTAAACCCTGACTCTCACATGGAAAGGCACTTACCTCTTTAACAGGCAGCCACAGTTCAACCAGTTTGATAAATGCAAACTTTTTTTTTTTTTTTAAAGAAAAACCCTCACAGATCAGACAATGTCCTAAATCAGAGCAACTGCACAAAAGAGATGAAAAGAAACCTTCCTGGGAGAGGAAGAGATGTCCATGAGAAAGCCAACTGGGCTGAGCCTTACAAAGCATGGCCCTTCTCTAATGCACTGATCTTAGCCCAGCACAGTGCGGGCTGGCTGCTGACCCGGTTGCAGGGGACGCTCCCGCGGCAGTGTCCAAGCTGGAGGGCGGCTGTTGTCAGCAGGCTCCGTGCAGCAGGGAAAGCCATCCCGGCAGAGCCCGGCTAGCGGAGGCTGCTGCTGCTGCTGGCCTGAGAGCTGCCCACGCCTGGGTGGTCTGGACTGTGTCGGTTCTGGGGAAGACAAGGAAGGAGGGGTAAGAGAACGCCGTGGCCGTGGCCGTGGCGGCCGTGGCTGTGGCCCTGGTCCGGGCTGTACTGGAAAAAACTGCAACATGCCCTGGGTTTTCAGTCGTGGGTCCCACCTGAGGCAGAGGACCATCGAGGACAGGGGGAGACGGGGAGACTTGGTGGGCTGCAGCAGCAGGTCCCTACCCTACCTTCTTTTTCTTCTTCTCTTTCTTCTTCCTTTTCCGTTCAGGATCCTCCTCTTTTTTCTTTTTCTTCTTCTTGTGATCAGAATCAGATGGTGTTTCTGTAGGAAACAGTATGGGCTACCAAAAGTCCCTACTGCTAGGGTCTGAAGACCACAGGAAAACCTAGTCAAGGGCAGCTGCTCTTCTAAAGGCCAGAAAGGATAGGGAGGCACTGCTAAAGCACCATTCCAGCTTTCTCCTTGCCCAGGAGACCTACTTGCAGGAAACACTAATTACCTTTATACCAGTTTCAAGAGAATTTGGGAGTCTGGGGCTCTGTAAGGAACCTAACTGAGTTTTTAACTGGGGACGGTCCAACCAGATCCAGGTTTTCTGGCTTTGAACCGAACTGTTTCTTACCTGGGGGGACAGGATCCTGGGTACGGCTCTGTTTGTGCTTGTGCTTATTCTTCTTCTTGGGAGGCTGAATATGCATCAGACGACACTGCTCCGGTAACTGAAGGAACCAAAGGAAGGTCCAGGTGAGTGGAGGGAGGAAATGCCCTGCTCCCATCATCTGTTCTGCTCAGTAGTTATGAAGGAACAGACTTGGACAGAAAAACCACCTCCACGCCTTTCAGGCCTCCCCGTTTGCCTTCTTCCTCCCCAAGAGGGGACTCACCGGGCCAGTGTGGAGGCGGAAGCCAGCCAGCATGGTCCCTGTAATAGGATTAAAAGAGCCACCAAGAATAGGGGGTTTCTCAATGAGAGAGCGGAGGCTGCTGTTATCATGGGAACCAGGCAGATCAATCATCCCTGGCAGGTCAGGCAGGAAGTTACTTAGCTTCTCCTTCACCTTCTTCCCACAGAATTTATTATAGGAATGTTCTAGGTTGTAGTGTGTGATCAGATTGGTGCTGCCTGTCAGCTCGGTGCTACCTAGAGGACACAGAAGAACAAAAAAATATTAGTCCCAAGAGTATTTTTTTTTAGTCACCCAGAGGGAAAGTGAAGGACTGTATTTTAACCTAAATAAGGAATCTTTTAAGTGACAATTAGAAAGATTTGAATTTATTTTCTTAAGTAAGAACAGCACAACTAAATAACATATAATAAACACTAAAAATATATACCATAGAATGGTAAGTTGGAACGAGGAGAAAAATCCACAACATCCAATGAGGACACAGATGGAAACTACCCCAAAGCAAGAGACACTCTCCCCAACTTGGACTCACCACGCTTACATGATGTTTACTCTGTGCTAAACACTGTTCTGAGTGCTTCTCATATAATACACTAGTGAGAAATTACACTCTCTGACACAGCAGGATATTACCTCAGAGCTCGGCCACCAGCAAGGTAAGAGCCAAATATGACCCAATGGCTTGAGTGTCTGGTCAAGGACTTTTTTTTCCTTTTTTTTTTTTTTTACTAGCAAGAAACATTAATTACCTTTACATAAAAAACAGGATTTTTTAGCTACTGCTGACTAACTTGTTATCACCATCTCCATTACTCATAATGCCAAGTATAATACTCTGCCTCAAAGAAAGAAATGTTCCCTTAGCATCTGGACAACTAGAAGTCTAATCCTAGCCATGCTCTATGCCTCAGTTTCCTCTTATCTCTGCAGTGGAGTAACAGCGATCTTAAGCACACTTAATTCTTTTTCAAGGTGCAAATGAAAACATGGAGAAGTATATTCTATAGATGCAAGGCACTATCAGTATAAATATCGCATGGCTGACTTTCTTCAAAAAATGGAAGCTTGTTAGTAATCTAATACGGATCTAGTGGCAAAGGGTGGAGCTAGCCAGCCTACAATTTCATCCACAGTTACGAGGAACACGAAGAATGCAAATGATGACGAAAGTGGCTTGTTCATAACCATTCACTTGGAAAAACCCAGGTTCTGATCTGAGGCCCCTGGGGGCCGAGACAGTGTCTTTCTTGTTCGTACATGTATCACGGGTGCCAAATGCAGTACACACCTTCGGTGCTCAGTAACTTTAAGTTAAGCGAGCAAGGTATTCTCCCTCCATACCCCAAGGCCTTACCCTATCCTTCCCGTTTCCCCTTCTCGTGCCAAACGTTTCAGAAACATGGTCTACTGTAAGGGCGGAACACTCAGCGCCAGAGTACTGCTCCTCAGAACTAGGCGCTGCCTCCGGCCAGGCTAGCATCCTGCTGTTTCCCACCTGTCAGCTCTCCTCTTCCAGAGGCTTCATCCTCAAGGCCCGCGTGAGAAGGCACTCCTGCTTTTCCTAAACACTTTATGAGTCCATCCAACTTCCTGTTTTGACTATCAGTTCCATGAAGATGATTTCTTTCTTTTTTTTTTTAAAGATTTTATTTATTTGAGAGAGAGAGAGAGAGAGAGAGAAACAGCATGAGAGGGGAGAGGTTCAGAGGGAGAAGCAGGCTCCCCGCTGAGCCGGGAGCCCGATGTGGGACTCGATCCCAGGACTCCGGGATCATGACCTGAGCCGAAGGCAGTTGCTTAACCAACTGAGCCACCCAGGCACCCCCCCATGAAGATGATTTCTAAACCTCTCTCCCCAGCCTCCTAAAAACTCCCCTCCTAAAAACTAGTCTTACACTTCCAACTTCCTCTTAGTCAATTCCATGAAGATTCATTTTCTTTAAACTCCCAAATCTTCCCCACCTCACTCAGGGCTTCTCTATTTCAATACATGGCACCCATATTCTCCGGATATTTTTAGAAGCAATACTCCTCGGTCCGTGAATCTCAATGGTTTCCTATTATCCTCAGGAAAAAGCTCAAATTCCTTTGGCACTCACGGTAAAACACATGTTACTGTAACTTAGTTTTGGGGCCTGATCAACTACTACTGGCCTATGCCACGTTTCTAATCCATCCAAATGAGTCTCCATTATCTCCTAAGAAACACACTTCTCATCTCATTTCCTTTTAGGAAGTTTGTTTTAGGAAAACTGATGTAATTATAAGATAATTCTTCCAAATTTTCTTCACCAATATGAAATTTTCAACGTCTGACTCAAGTGACAACTCTTTCTGTCATTTTTTTTTTTTTTTAAGATTTTATTTATTTATTTGACAGAGAGAGAGAGAGGGAACACAAGCAGGGTAAGTGGGAGAGAGAGAAGCAGGCTTCCCGGCGAGCAGGGAGCCCGATGTGGGGCTCGATCCCAGGACCCTGGGATCATGACCTGAGCTGAAGGCAGACACTTAACGACTGAGCCACCCAGGTGCCCCCTTTCTGTCATTTTGGATAACAAGGAACACATTTTGAAAACCAGCATGTAGTTTTTTGTTGTTTTTTTTTTTTTTTTAAAGTAAACATCTACCCCCAGTGCAGGGCTGGAACTCACAACCCCAAGATCAAGAGTCGCATGCTCTACCTACTGAGCCAGCCAGGGGCCCCCATCATGTAGTTCTTAATAGCTGTATATGAGGCATGACCACGAAGTAATGAGATTAGCCTTTACAAGAAATACAGTCACTATCCTTAAACCACATACTTTATATCCCTAAGTAAAATAAACTCCTTAAAAGCAAGGACTAGGCCACAATAGCCAAACTGTGGAAAGAGCCAAGATGTCCATCGACAGATGAATGGATAAAGAAGATGTGGTATATATATACAATGGAATATTATGCAGCCATCAAAAGGAATGAAATCTTGCCATTTGCAACGATGTGGATGGAACTGGAGGGTATTATGTTGAGTGAAATAAGTCAAAAAGAGAAAGACATGTATCATATGATCTCACTGATATGAGGAATTCTTAATCGCAGGAATCAAACTGAGGGTTGTTGGAGTGGGGGGTGGGGTGGGAGGGATGGGGTGACTGGGTGATAGACACTGGGGAGGGTATGTGCTCTGGTAAGCACTGTGAATTGTGCAAGACTGTTGAATCTCAGATCTGTACCTCTGAAACAAATAATGCAATATATGTTGAGAAAAAAAAAAAAAAGAAGAAGAAGAAGAAGAAGGTAGCGGGAGGGGAAGAATGAAGCGGGGGAAATCGGAGGGGGAGACGAACCATGAGAGACGATGGACTCTGAAAAACAAACAGGGTTCTAGAGGGGAGGGGGGTGGGAGGATGGGTTAGCCTGGTGGTGGGTATTGAGGAGGGCACGTTCTGCATGGAGCACTGGGTGTTATGCACAAACAATGAATCATGGAACACTTCATCTAAAACTAATGATGTAATGTATGGGGATTAACATAAGAATAAAAAATTAAAAAAAAAAAAAAAAGCAAGGACTAGGGGCACCTGGATGGCTCAGTTGTTAAGAGTCTGCCTTCGGCTCAGGTCATGATTCCAGGGTCCTGGGATCGAGCCCCGCATCGGGCTCCCTGCTCTGCGGGAAGCCTGCTTCTCCCTCTCCCACTCCCCCTGCTTGTGTTCCCTCTCTCGCTGTGTCTCTGTCAAATAAATAAATAAAATCTTAAAAAAAAAAAAAAAAAAGCAAGGACTAGACATATTCTCTCCCCTTCTCACCACATGCTGCCCTTCCTACATAAACCAGCATTTGCCCAAAACATATCTCAGTATCTGTCAACTGCTTGATAAAAATAGGCACAATCAGAATAGGTAAAGTTAGAGAAACTGCTGGGAGACATCAACCACTTACTGACCAAAGGAAAGTCAACCTTTCTATGCTTCAGTTTTATTCAACTATAACATGCCTACCTCAAGGGGCTATTCTCAGTATCAAATTCTATTACATATATAACTGCACTGTGAACTTCAAAGCACTGTACCAATATGCATTATTATCTCCCTCAATTCCTGATGTAGCAGTAGGACCTGGGAGGAACTGAAAGGCCATCTGGAGAATTAACATGTCCAAAATGACTCTTTTGACTTCCACCTCCTCAAACTTGTTACTTTTTTTTTTTAAAGATTTTATTTATTTATTTGAGACAGAGAGAATGAGAGAGAGAGAGCACATGAGAGGGGGGAGGGTCAGAGGGAGGAGCAGGCTCCCTGCCAAGCAGGGAGCCCGATGCGGGACTCGATCCCAGGACTCCAGGATCATGACCTGAGCCGAAGGCAGTCGCTTAACCAACTGAGCCACCCAGGCGCCCCAAACTTGTTCCTTCTTGGTCTCAGCACTACCATCCACCCAACTATTCAATCCAAGAATTTACAAGTATTTTCAGTTCCTCTCTACTTCTAGATTCAATCCTTCGTTCCCATAAGCTCTATCCCTAACGTTTATCCTGCATCAGTTCACTTCTCTCCTCCACTGCTACTGCCTAGTCCAAACCATCATCTCTTTCCTGGACCACTAAGCAGTAACTTCTGACTGAATTCCTCGCTTTCCATTCTTAATGTAGCTGTTTGGATAATTACAAATAAGTAAATCAGATGATGTCACTTTCCTGTGTTAAAACGGCTCCCCCTGAGGGGTGCCTGGCTGGCTCAGTCAGTAGAGAATGCGACTCTTGATCTCGGGTGGTGCGTTTGAGCCTCACTTTCGGTACAGAGATTACTAAAAACAAATAAATAAAATGGTTCCCCCTGAACTTAAAATCTAAATACTTTACAAAGGCCTCTACTTACTCCTCCCCCCTTCATCTCCTATCACTCTTTCCCTTGAAACTTCACTGGAGTCCAACTGGTCTTCTGACCCTCAGATATTCCAAGCTTTTCCCTCACACCACGGCTTCTGACCTCATTTCTTGCATCTTATCTCTCCCATTCACACATGACTGGCTCTTTACATTTACGCTCAAATATTATCTACTCAGAGATGGATTCTTTGATCACTCTAGCTAAAGCAGTTCTGCCTCAATTCTTTATCACATTTTCTCCTTGTAGCACTAACCGCTACCTGATGTTATCTAGTGTACTACTCTGTGCCGCCTCTTCTGAAATGTAATCTCCAAAACAGGCAAAGATCTTGTCAGTCCTACTCACAGCTGTATCTTAAGCATTTAGAACAGTGCTTGGTACACAGTAGGTGCTCAACAAAACAAATGTTTGGTTCGATTCTAATCCCTCCTTCCGACTGTTGAAGACACGCAGAGGCCCTTAGAAGGAGGGCAACATGCCTCTAACCAACAGCATGTTTGTGACAGATCTGGAAAACCTTAGGTCTGCAGGGATGTTAAATCAGGCCTCTCGAGCTCCAAACTCAAACTCTGGATAATTTCTAGGGAACCATAAACCAGGATCAGGGACAGAGCCAAATATGGTGTGAAACATGGTCACGGAAACGCATGCTTTCCCCCTTCCCAGTCCAGGCCAAAAATTCATGTCATCCCTTTGGTCGTGAATCCTCAGACCCCTTCCGACTTTGAGCTCCAAGGTCCCGACACGCGTTGCCGAGGCTACCTCATACCTACCCCGGCAGGCTGAGAGCCACGCCCATCATCTCCTCGCTATGATCTGATTGGCTACCTTCGGCCAGGCCTAGTACTCACCTGGAAGTTCCCGCATAAGATAGAAGGGACCACAACCAGCCGCCGACTTGTCGGCGCCGGGAGGGGCCGTGGCCGCAGTGGGCGGCGGGGCCGTGCCGGGGCCCCCGCCCGGAGGAGGGGGAGGCGGAGGTGGAGGCTTTCCTGGTCCGAAGCCGAGTGCGGTTGGAGGTGGTGGTGGGTCAGCCTGAGCTCCGAACAGTGCCGAGAAATTCTCCATCGTCTTCTCCGCCCCGGCGCGGTCCCGGTGTCTGGCGTCGGTCGTTTTCATTGGACAATCCCTTCACGATGTCCCGCCCTCTTCCTCTAGGAGCCGCTTATCATTGGGTGCCCCGCCTACCTTTTCCGGGTAACTACTTCCGTCGCTTTAGGAGAACGTTCAGGAAGTGCTATCTAAATTTATTAAATTCTTTTCTGTAGTCTCCCATCGCCACGGTTGCATATCCAATAAAATGACTTAACTAGAGAAAGCGACAGCTAGATTGACCAATAAAATGTCAAATCCCCTACCTGCCGCAGCGTCCAATCAGAGATATACTTCCGGGCGCAGAGGCGGTGCATCCGAGACTAGACCCAAAGGAAGTCTCAATGGTGGGAGAGGCGGGACCAGACCTACAGACGCCGAAGCTGGGCGGGCGCCGCAAAGGCCGGAAAGATGGCGGTCCTGGCACCTTTAATTGCTCTGGTGTATTCGGTGCCACGGCTTTCACGATGGCTGGCCCGACCTTACTATCTTTTGTCAGCCCTGCTTTCTGTTGCATTCCTACTCGTGAGGAAGCTACCCCCTCTCTGCAACAGTCTCCCCACGCAACGCGAAGACGGCAACCCGTGTGACTTTGACTGGGTGAGCGGACCCCGCGACCTTCACTGTCCCTGCTCCCCGAGGTTGCATGCGGGAGCCCCGAGGTTCCCCTTTTTGACGATACCTGAGGTTCCGAGCCTGTAGCGGACTTACAGACTGTTAGAATGTAGGGCCTGGACTATCATCGAGCCTAAACCTCTTCATGCTTAATTAAGATGGGAAAACAGCCGGTGAACTTGCTTAGCAGCCTGGCTCTTCGGATCCTTGAGTCCAGGGTTCTTTCCATCTCACCATTCATGCTGGTCAACAGTTGGACCCAAACTCTACACATGTTCAGTATTTTACAAGGCTACCCATTATAGAAAGCCTCTTGAGGAGCCAGTGAGGTAAACAAGGAGGGTAGTAGTACTCCCGTTTTATTCATGGAGAAATTGATCTCGGCGTGGTTAGGCGAGTTGCCAAACTAGTCACTAGTGAGTCAACTAGTGAGTGAATGCGACCTGAAACCACTCTTTTGGCCATACTACCTGCACACTCCATCAGCCGTCTCTTAATTCAGTTAACACTTCCAGGGCATGCACTATCTGCTAGGCACTCTGCCGCATCCTGAGGATGCAGAAGTGAACACAAGTGTTAGACCCGTTGAAAAGAAATTGTAAAAAAAAAAACTGTAAAGAAATCTCTCTCGAGAGTCTTGCTGTACTTGAGTGAGAGCGGAGAAAAAGGAGTTGAAGCTCGGTGCTCTCAGCTGTACAGCTGCAGCAGTGTTCTGAGGGAGGAGGGTCAGCCTGAGGTTTTGTCTTTTTTCCCAGTCCCCAAAGTGAGTCTTGACCTTTACCAGCACCCACTCCGTTATTTTTATTCTCCGTCCCTTGCTAACGCTTTCATACTTCCTCTGTCCTTTCCCAGACAGTATTACTGATAAGCTCAAGTGTAGTGTACCCATGCTACTTCAGATGATCCTATTTTTATAGTGGTCCCTCCTTATGTGGGGCAGCTGGGGCGGGGGGGGCGGTGGATATTCATTGCAAGACCCCCTGTGGTTGCCTGAAACCCTGGATAGTACCAAACCTTATATATATGATATTTTGTCTTATACATACATACCTGTGATAAATTAATTTGCAATTTAGGTACAGTAAGAGATTAACAACAATAACTAATAATAAAATAGAACGATTATAACAAAGTAATGTAATGAAAATTATGTCAGTGTGATCTCTTTGTCTCCCTCCCTTAAAATATCCTATCGCACTGTACTCATCCTTCTGATGATGATGATATCAGATGATAAAGTGAGGTGACATGAAGTGAGGTGAATGGCATAGGCATTGTAACATAGCATTAGGCTACTGTTGACCTTCTGTTGGTAAGTCAGGAGGAGGATGATCTGTGTCCAGACTGTGGTTGACTGAAGGTAACTAAAACCACAGATAAGGGAGGACTACTGGATTCCATACTGATTTAACCAAAATGGGACTCAAAGATGTAAGTGGGTAGTAGTAAAGATTTTAATAAGTATAGGGACGTTTTATATAACTAATTTCTCTGAATACTCTCATTTAATAATATGCAAAATACTGGAATTTTTTGTATTTTACTATTTCTCTGATGGAATTTTTTTAAATTAATTACATAGAGTTCATAACCAGTGTTTGTTTTCCTGGAAAATCCATGTTTTACTGATTTACCTAGATGACTGGAAAGTTAGGATATTAAGGTAAATAATGTTAGCAATAACAGGTAAATAAATAAAAATAAAATAACAAGCCTCAACTTTTCAGGGATGTGACACAAGTTTATTTATTTACTTATTTTTAAAGATTTTATTTATTTGTCAGAGACAGAGAGCACAAGCAGGGGGAGCGGCAGGCAGAGGGAGAAGCAGGCTCCCTGCTGAGCAGGGAGCCCGATGTGGGGCTCCATCCCAGGACCCTGGGATCATGACCTGAGCCGAAGGCAGACACTTAACTGACCGAACCACCCAGGCGTCCCAAGGATTGATAAAATTTAAAAATAATTTAAGAGAGGTACCTGGCTAGCTCAGTCAGTGGAGCATACAACCCAAGGGTCATGTGTTCAAGCCCCATGTTGGGCATAGAGCTTACTAAAAAAACAAAACAAAAAAACGAAAAATCCAACCAACCAAACAACAACAAAAGCATTTATCAACCCCTAATGAAATAATAAACCTAGGCAATGATCATCTGTGGATGCTAAATCCATCAGATGAAAGGTTGATGTATCCTCTGAAGGGATGCAATAGGGAATCTCTAGCACCACCTATGATGTATTTCTTTTTTTTTTTTTTTAATATATATTTTATTTATTTGACAGAGAGAGACACAGCGAGAGAGGGAACACAAGCAAGGGGAGTGGGAGAGGGAGAAGCAGGCTTCCCGCCGAGCAGGGAGCCCGATGTGGGGTTCGATCCCAGGATTTTGGGATCATGACCTGAGCCGAAGGCAGACGCTTAACGACTGAGCCACCCAGGCGCCCCTATGATGTATTTCTGGCAAAAGATTTGGATTTCATTGTATTCAAGCCTCTAGATTTCATTGCCACTTTACAAGAAATATGGGAGATAGAAAATCATCATCAGAAGAACACATACCGTAAGTTCGCAAGCAGCCAAATCCAGAAAGTGGGAAAGTTGAGAGTACAGATGACTCAATGTCTTTAAAAGATGAGTAGCCTGGGGTAAAAAGGAAGAATAGATATTCTTTAGAGATAAAAGAAAACCCAAAGAAACGCATAAGCCAAATGCATTGTGTGGATCTGGCTTGCTTGTTCCTGATTTGAACAAACAACTGCACAAAGACAATTTGAAATTATTGGGATCATTTGAAGAAGGACCAAATATTAAATGACAGTAAGGAATTATTAATTGTGTTAAGTGTGATAATGGTATTTTGGTTTGTTTAAAAAAAAAAAAAAAGGTCCCAGGGTGCCTGGCTGGCTCAGTTGGAAGAGCATGTAGTTCTTTATCTTGGGGTTGTTTGAGCCCCTCATTGGAAGTAGAGATTACTAAAACAAATAAATAAACTTTAAAAAGGGGGGGCTTCCTTAAAAAAAAAAAGTCCTTGGGGTGCCTGGGTGGCTTAGTTGGTTAAGCATCCAACTCTTGATTTTGCTCGGGTCAGCCTGGGTGTGGAGCTTGCTTAAGATTCTCTCTCTCCTGGGCGCCTGGGTGGCTCAGTCGTTAAGCGTCTGCCTTCGGCTCAGGTCATGATTCCAGGGTCCTGGGATCGAGCCCTGCATCGGGCTCCCTGCTCGGCCGGGAGCCTACTTCTCCCTCTCCCACTCCCCCTGCTTGTGTTCCCCTCTCTCGCTGTGTCTCTCTCTGTCAAATAAATAAAATCTTTAAAAAAAAAAAAAAGATTCTCTCTCTCCTGGGGCACCTGGGTGGCTCAGTTGGTTTAGCGACTTCCTTCGGCTCAGGTCATGATCCTGGACTCCCTGGATCGAGTCCCGCATCGGGCTCCCTGCTCGGCAGGGAGTCTGCTTCTCCCTCTGACCCTCCCCCCTCTCATGTGCTCTCTCTCATTCTCTCTCTCTCAAATAAATAAATAAAATCTTTAAAAAAAAAAAAGATTCTCTCTCTCCCTCTCCCTCTCCCTCTGCCCCTCCCCCCCTTAAAAAGAAAGTCCTTATCTGTAAGAGAGACACACTGAAGTATTTGCAGGTGAAATGATATAGTTAGAATTTGCTTTAAATTTTTCCAAAAAAAGTGGGTAGCATAGATGAAATGGAACTGTTTTGGCAAAATGTTACTGTTAAATCTGAGTAGTGGGGATTAAAGTATTGTAGGGGAGGAAAATTTTCCTCTACCTTTTTTTTTTAAGATTTTATTTATTTATTTGACAGAGAGAGACACAGTGAGAGAAGGAACACAAGCGGGAGATGTGGGAGAGGGAGAAGCAGGCTTCCTGCAGAGCAGGGAGCCCTATGCAGGGCTGGATCTGAGGACTCTGGGATCATGACCTGAGCCGAAGGCAGACACTTAACGACTGAGCCACCCAGGCGCCCCCTTTCCTCTACCTTTCTGAGGTCTTGGCTGAGACCTCTGTAATAAAAGATTAAAAACAAAAATAAACAAGTTTATTAACATGTATACCTCATGTATATATGGGAGATATCCAGGGAAAATGAATTCACTCAGAGGTGGATTAGAACTCTGGCTTATATCACATCCTCAACAAAAAGCAATACATTTTTGGAGAAATGACTGAACAAAGGCTTCCAAGGACAGCAAACTGTGGGAAGGTAAACTAATGGTAGATAAAGGCTCTTGTTTGTTTTGTTAGTTTCCTCTGGTGCTGTTTCCAGGCTGATAGGGTCTAAAATCGTCTCCCTTGATTAACTTTTGTCCTGGTAGAGAGGGCTGGAGGAATACTTTCAAAATATTTATGTCCTGCTTTGGGGCAACTGGGTAGCTCAGTGAGTTAATCTTGTGACTCTTGGTTTTGGCTCAGGTTGTGATCTCAGGGTTGTGAGATTGAGCC